CTGCAGTCGCCAGCAGCAGCAGCAGCAACAGCAGCAGCAGCAGCAGCAGCAGCAGCAGCAGCACGCACGCCTAACGCAGCAGCAGTAATGCAGGCCCTCAGCAACTTGCTGCCAGCAGTGACGCAAATGGGCGGACAGCTTGCTGCTGCTGACGAGGGTGAGTTCGTTTGAGTGCTACGCTGCGGTGTACGTACACCCCAAGTCCTGCTGCTGCTGCTGCTGCTGTTTGTGCTGCTGCAGCAAACGGCACAGTGACGCTGCGCTACGAAGGGCCCAACGCAGTCACAGTCAAGTATGGGCTGGAGGTGAGAAGATGCCAAGGCCCAGTTTCAAGGGTTTAGGGTTTAGGGTTTAGGGTTTAGGGTTTAGGGCTTAGGGATTAGGGTTTAGGGTTTAGGGTTTGGAGGGTGTTTGACTCAGATGGAATTGAACGATAAGCTTCCTGATGCAGCAGGCTCCGTCCGCATTGAGGCGGTGGAGGCAGCAGCATGAAGAGTTTGCTGCTGCAGCGTCTTGTTTTCCTGCTGCTGCAGCTGCTGCTGCAGCAACAGCAGCTGCTGCTACAGCAGCAGCAGCGCTGCTACTCCTAGTTTTGCTGCATCGCTGCAGCTTGGGCCATATGCCAGTCGCTAGTAGATTGATTAATTCAATATTCAATTATTTATTTAATCGTTTAATTGTTTATTTAATTAGTTATTTAACTATTTATTATTTATTTATTTGTCTATTTATTTATTTATTTATTTATTTATTTATTTATTTAGTTCTCTTCTGGGCGCCAAACAAAGTCCCAAAAAGGAAGGAAACGCGGAAGACAAAAGTTTTTCTTTATTACTATTATTATTATTATTATTATCATTCGTATTATTATTATTGTTATTACTATTATTGTTATCATCATTATTATTATTATTGTTATTATTATTATTGTTATTATTATTATTACTATTACTATTACTATTATTATTATTATTATTATTATTATTATATTTCATTTTCCATTTTTAAACTTGTGGAGGTTTTCGAGAAGTTTAAATTCCCTTTCGCTTCGCGGGCTTCAGGTGTACGTACACCCCACGCCCGTGGGAGGCGCTTGCAATTTGTCTGTTAAATGCAAATAGTAATCATTTATATAATCTTTTATGAATTTAAAATATAAATTTATATTTTGGAAGAATAAAATGATAAATAAACTCCAAAAAAGAAGACAGAAATGGGCTGCGAACAAAAAGGCAAAAGCCCTAAACCCTACCCGAAGGGGCTGAAACCACGTTTTAGGGTTTAGGGGCTGGAAACACAACGCAGTGAGCCAGTAACAGACTAAGAGCGAAACTGCTGTAACCCAGCGGGTCTTTACCAGCTAGCTAGCGGAGAAGCAGCAGCTAGCTGAGACTACACGCGACCAGGAAACTGTGCAGCTAGCTAGCTAGCTGCATGGCTAGCTAGCTAGCTGCGCAACTAGCTAGCTGCTTCCACGCACTGGGGCTTGGCAGCCAAGGCACCTTGAGCGAAGCAGCCAACGAGGTCCAGCTAGCTAGCTAGCTGGCCCGCCGGCTAGCTAGCCAGCTAGCTGGTTAGCTAGCTAGCTGGCCTGCCGGCTAGCTAGCCAGCTAGCTGGTTAGCTAGCTAGCTGATTAGCTAGCTAGCTGGTTAGCTAGCTAGCTGGCTAGCTAGCTAGCTGGTTAGCTAGCTAGCTAACCAGCTAGCAGACTAGCAAGCCAGCTAAAAGGCGCAGAAAGCTTCCCTCATCGTGCCAGCCCCAGGGCCAATTCAACTTTGCTGCTGGTCTTTCATTTTTAGTCTTTTTACTTCGAGAAAAACAGCAGCAGCAAAAAAACGCCACAGCGAAGCTTGAAGCCGCTGCTGCTGCTGCTGCTCGCAGCGCCGGCGTTGTTTTAGCCCAAATGGCCAAAACTGTGTGAAGTCCAATTCAACTATTTTTCATGGGCCATTACTTCCGTTCTCAAGACTACTTTAATTAAAAATATGAATTTAATTAAATTAACGAACTTCAATTTACTTTTGAAGAGAAACGGACTCTAACTCTAAGCCTAAGCCCTGGGCGCTACGGCTGGCGTTTCCGAGGTGTCTGTACACCGCAGCGCGTGCGTTCAAGTTTTCGACTTTTTGGAAAACCAACAGAAATAAATATCCGAGAAGTTGCAGTTTGGCGTTTTTGCTGCTGAGGAGCGAGCTGGGGGAGGAAAAGGTGAGGAATTGGCGTTAGCATTGCCTCCGAACAAAACCTGAAATGAAGCAGGAAGTTGTTGGGAGCTGCTGCCTCCCGGGCGCTGCATGCGTTTTTTGGAGCCCCTTTGCATGCGCGCATGCAAAGAACTTGGGGGAATTACTGGGCGGGCTTGGCGGCCGCGACTCCGGCCTTTTTGTTTTCTTCCTTCAGCTTCCTCTTCTCCTTCTGAGCTGCTGCTTTCTGCTTCCGCGCGTCCACCTGCTCCTGCAGCGCCTTCTCCTTCACCTTCAAGTTCTTTTCATTGTGAATGGCTTCGATCAGCACGCGTTTGTTTTTGAACTGGTTGCCTTTGCAGCGTACGTACAGCTTGTGGTACCTGCAGCAGCAGCGCAGCAGCAGGTGGAAAGCAGCGCGATCCGGGGTCAAAATGCGTCAAATTTCGCGCAACAAAGTCAAATATATTGAATTGAACCATTTGCAACAATAAGATGGACAAAAAACCGGAAAAAAACCGCGCTTTCCGCCGCAACGGGCCCCGTTCAAGTTCGCCGGCGCACATGTGGCTGTCGATCTTCTTCGCGTCTCTGTACTTCTTCAGCAGCCGCCGCAGCACTCTTTGTCTTCTCATCCAAAGCACCTTCGCCGGCAGTCGAGCATCTCGAGTTCCTTTTCTCTTCCCAATCCCCATGTGCCGGCCTGCGGAGCCCCACACCACACCCGCCACCCCCACTGCAGCAGCAGCAGCAGCAGCAGCAGCAGCAGCGAGCCAGCGCGCGGCTCGCCGCGCCCCCCTCCCCCCCAGCAGCAGCAGCAGCAGGAGACCCCTCCCAGCGCGCGCCCCCCTGCCCCAGCAGCAGCAGGAGACCCCTCCCAGCGCGCGCCCCCCTCCCCCCAGCAGCAGCAGCAGCAGCAGCTCCCAGCGCGCGCCCCCCTCCCCGCAGCAGCAGCAGCAGCAGCAGCAGCAGCAGCAGCAGCAGCAGGACCCTGTCGCTTGGCCTGCTGGTAGAGGCGGAACCTGTACTTGGAGTGCACGGCCACGGCCTTGCGGATGATCAAGTTGTCCCGAATTAACTTGCGCACTGAAAAGCGGCTGTTCGCCATCGCGATGTCCCCCGCCTCGTTCGGGTCCAGCCAGACGCGGCCGCGGCCGCACTTCAAGATC